GGGTCTTAAAGGCTTGAAGATAAACAAGTGGCCATCTAGCTCAGAAGCAACAAAGCCCACATTGAAGAACACATCAGCTTGTGTGACCACGAGGTGTCATGGGAATCAGGAATCGGGCATCAAAAAACAAAAAAGCATATCATTGTAAATGAGGGTGAGTGCAGACTGGAGACCCAAAGCCCATCCTTAGGCAACTGGACACCACCTTACTGAAGGTTTGCGGGAAGGAGATGAGCCAGTAAAGGTGTAGGGAAGTAACGATGAAACATGCAACTTTCCTCTAGTTCTCAAATGCTTCCTCCCCACCACTATCATGATCCCAATTCTATCTCACAAATCTGGCTAGACCAGAGGATGTACATTGGTACAGATTGGAATTGGAAACACAGGGAATCCAGAGCGGATGACCCCTTCAGCACCAGTGGTGATAGTGGCCATAACTGGAGGGTGGGGGGAAGGTGGGGTTGAAAGGAGGAACCGATTACAAGGATCTACATATAACCTCCTCCCTGGGGGGTGAACAACAGAAAAGTGGGTGAAGGGAGACGTCAGACAGTGTAAGATCTGACAAAATAATAATAATTTATGAAATATGAAGGGTTCATGAGGGAGGGGGCGGGGGGAACAAGGGGGAAAAATAAAGAGTTGATATTAAGGCCTCAAGTAGAAAGCAAATGTTTTGAGAATGATGATGGTAACAAATGTACAAATGTGCTTTACACAATGGATGTATATATGGATTGTGAAAAGAATTGTATGAGCCCCAATAAAATGATTTTTTTAAAAAAAGAAGGCTATAGACTTTATCAGGTTAATGGTTTCTGTATTATTCCAATGTTGCTGATAGGTTTTAATAAAAAGATATTTTTAGATTAAAAATTACTTCAGTTTACATTTTTCTAAGGGTTTTATTCTCTTTATCATGAATAATTTCAGCATATTATTAAATACTTTTAGAACCTTCTTAAAATAATCACAACCACTTCTAATTTATAATTTTGAGGAGTTCCATCATAACTTGTTATTATAAAACTGAAATTTTATTCTCAGACTATTAATACTTGACCAAAATATTAAAATTGTTTTATACACAGGTGATTTTGGCTTGCTAACATATTATTTAGTGTTACATTTGTATTACTTTGCTCTAAGTCTGTTTTTCCTAAATTTT